TCCATCCTGCTCCGTGGACGTTCCCATGGACGAAGATAACCCTCGCGAAAGTGTCAACGCCGAAACCTTCTACTATTTCGCCGACAACGGTTACGAAACACCTGCGACAGTCAACACCAACGAAGCAGAACGAGTAGGACCCAACTTCATACCTGATCCAGAAGCGGGAGATGAAGCAGCTTATCCCGAGGACGCAAATCTTCCCCGCTATTCACAGAGTGGACTGCAAATTCTCGGACTCGTCACCGCAGTCCACGGCACCGCCATTCCTAAAGAGCCTGCGACGGTTCAACAGGCTCTGGGGGGGGAGCATAAGGAAAAATGGCGCGAAGCCATGGACAAGGAGCTGAAGGCACTGGAGGAACGCAACACGTGGAAAGTGGTTCCTATCGGCGTGGCACGGAACAAGACAGTGCTCACCGGGAAGTGGGTCTTCCGTGTGAAGACAAAGGCTGACGGCACCATTGACAAATTTAAGGCTCGCTGGGTTGTACGCGGCTTCGACCAAGAACACGGACGCGACTTCACCGAAACTTTCGCTCCGGTTAGCCGCCACACCTCACTACACATTCTCCTCGCAATCGCCGCCATGAAGAAGAAGAAGCTGCGACAAATTGACGTCGCGAACGCGTTTCTCTACGTGACAAAATACTAGCGTGAGTTTGGCTTAGGAGCCATAGTTTAGGAGCCTTGGTAGTTGAGTTCGAGTTTAGGAAAAGTATCGAGAGGTTTGGAAGGAGAGGAATGAGGTTTCACTAGCAAGAGTTGGGATACAAGTACAACACCCTAAATTGGGTTGTACTCATTACAGAGTACCCCACTGCAGGCTAGACAGCAAATACATTCTGACACACCCCCATAGCCAAAGTGGGGTGTAATCAGCACAATGAGCAAGCATAGAGCAAGAGTTCACAATAGGTAAGTAAGGCTAGAGCTAATCACAGAGGGCAAGTGAGGAGGAGGAGAGACTGTGGGGGAGAGAAGATGGGAGGCGGCTGCTGACGCTGCAGACACACAGACGAGCTGCTGGCTCAGTGGCTACCGGAACAGCGCTCCGGACTACTGGGGTAACTGGCCCCGCGGCTAAAAGTAGCGGCAGACGAGCAACGGACCCACGGGCGACTGGCGACTACCGGAGATTGTAGCCTCCGGACTGCTGCTGCTGCTGACGACAAGACTGCTGCCTCCACTCGACCTCCCCAGCTGCCTAACGCCCTTCTCACACACCCCCTGCTCAAACCCTAGCCCTACACCCACAGCACCCCCTTAAACCCTAAACCCCAGACTCCCACACATCCACCCCCCTCAGCGAGAGCTGCAGCAGTGGGAGACGAAGGAGGAGGAGGAGGAGGGAACGGCACGCACAACCGACACCCCCACAACCATCACCCCCACACCCACCCCCCCACGGCTGCACCGGGTCCAGGAGCGGCTGCTGCAGGGGCCAGGGGCGGCTGCTGCTGGGGCGGCTGCTCCAGGGGCTGCTGCTGCTGGGGCGGCTGCTCCAGGGGCTGCTGCTGCTGAGGCGGCTGCTCCAGGGGCTGCTGCTGCTGGGGCGGCTGCTCCAGGGGCTGCTGCTGCTGGGGAGGCTGCTCCAGGGGCTGCTGCTGCTGGGGCGGCTGCTCCAGGGGCTGCTGCTGCTGGGGCGGCTGCTGCTGGGGCGGCTGCTCCAGGGGCTGCTGCTGCTGGGGCGGCTGCTCCAGGTGCTGCTGCTGCTGGGGCGGCTGCTCTAGGGGCTGCTGCTGCTGGGGCTGATGCTGCTGGGGCGGCTGCTCCAGGTGCTGCTGCTGCTGGGGCGGCTGCTCCAGGGGCTGCTGCTGCTGGGGCTGCTGCTGCTGGGGCGGCTGCTGCTGGGGCGGCTGCTCCAGGGGCTGCTGCTGCTGGGGCGGCTGCTCCAGAGGCTGCTGCTGCTGGGGCGGCTACTCCAGGGGCTGCTACTGCTGGGGCGGCTGCTTCAGGGGCTGCTGCTGCTGGGGCGGCCGCTGCAGTGGCGGCGGCTCCAGGGGTTGCTGCTGCTGGGGCGGCTGCTCCAGGGGCTGCTGCTGCTGGGGCGGCTGCTCCAGGGGCGGCTGCTGTTGCAAGGCAGGCCGCTCCAGGGGCGGCTGCTTCAGGGGCGGCGGCTCCAGGGGCGGCTGCTGCAGCGGAAAGTAGGAGGGAGGGGAGGGGAAGGGCGCGGCCCCCATTGTGCCCTGACGGGTGATGTGCTAGGGAGCCGCGCAGGTCCCCAAAAGTGCCTCGACTGGCAACGAGAGGGGACCGCGCGCAGGCCCCTAAGGCGCCGCGACGAGGCAACGGGAGGGGCCGGCTCGCGGGCCCCGAAAGTGCCGCGACGAGGCGACGGGAGGGACCTGCGTGCAGGCCCCCAAAACGCCTCGACGAGGCGACGGTCGGGGCCAGTGCGCGGGCCCCTAAGACGCCGCGACGAGGTAGGAACCCGCCGCGCGCCTCGGGGCGCACGGCGGGCAGAAAACCGCCACGCGCTCCGAGCGCGTGGCGGGAAGAAAAATGGGATGTCGCGCGCCACGGGGCGCGCGACACACAGTAGGGCAGCGGAATCGAGTGGGCCCACAGGCCAGGAACGTTAAGCTCTGATAACATGACAAAATACTAGCGTGAGTTTGGCTTAGGAGCCATAGTTTAGGAGCCTTGGTAGTTGAGTTCGAGTTTAGGAAAAGTATCGAGAGGTTTGGAAGGAGAGGAATGAGGTTTCACTAGCAAGAGTTGGGATACAAGTACAACACCCTAAATTGGGTTGTACTCATTACAGAGTACCCCACTGCAGGCTAGACAGCAAATACATTCTGACACTACGCACCTGTTGATGCAGAAATTTTCGTCGAGCTACCGCACGGCTCCCACAGAGAACCCAACCAAGTCTGCCAGCTACTCAAGTCACTCTACGGCATCAAGCAGGCTCCGCGACTGTGGCAACAGTACCTGCACACTCGCCTCATCCGCATCGGCTTCAAGCAACTACCGCACGATCAAGGCATGTACCGGCTCACAAAAAACGACGACTACATCCTACTAATCGTCTACGTGGACGATCTCCTTTACATCGGCTCGAATGACGGCATCACTACCTGGTTCGAAGGGGAGCTGCAGCGAGATCTCACGCTCACAGTTTCATCTACCGTCACTCAGTACCTCGGCCTCAACATCCGGGAAGAGGAGGACGCGATCTACCTCAGCGCCGAGAAATATGCCGACACCATCGCCAAACGCTTTACGCTCACACCGACAGCCATCTCCACGCCATACCGCTACACGGCAGGGAACGACAAAGGAAGCTCCGCTCTACTCAAGCCCGCCGGCATACGAGACTACCAGAAGAAGCTGGGATGTCTTCTCTTCGCAGCCGTCACCTGTCGCCCCGACCTCTCATACTCCGCAAGCCAGCTCGCCACCTACCTCAAGAAGCCTGAAGCAGAACATCTGGCGGAGCTCGACCGCACTCTTCACTACTTCGTCAGCACCCCAACGATCGGCCTAACTTACTACAAGAACGCAACCACACCGACTAAGTTAATCGGCTACGTCGACGCTGATCACGCTGGCGACTCCGACAATAGGCGCTCCCGCACCGGCTACATCTACCGCCTCGAACCTATCGGACCTATCTCTTGGCAGTCGAGCAAGCAGGAATTAATTGCTCTCTTGTCAGCTGAAGCAGAATATATTGCACTCTGCTCAGCCACCAAGGAAGGACTCTATCTTCGCGAGCTGCTGGAAGAAGCGAAGTTAGCCGAGTTACCCAACTTTACCCTGTTCTGCGACAACCAGTCAGCAATTCGCATCGCCAACAAGAACGGCTTCGCAAACAGGACGAAACACATCACCCTGCGATATTTCTTCGTGAAGGACGAGATCGAGAAGGGAAGGCTCGAGCTGTCATACTGTCCCACGTCTGAGATGGCAGCTGACTACCTGACCAAGAAGCTCGGAAAGCAGAAGTTCGAATACTGCATGTTGCTGACTGGACAGAGCCACGTCAGCGACACTCCAGAAGCGAAGAGGAGTGTTGGAAACAATCGGTCCTAAGCGCCTCTGTCGTGTCGAAACACTAAGACACAAAAGAAACGGAGTATAACGAATCACCGGCGAGTCAACCCTCTGAGGTTGAAAGTAACTGTTGGAGGTTACGCGAAAGTCAAAGGTCAGCGACCTTTGACCTGACAAAGTACAGCGCGACAGCAAGGACAAACAACTGACTCGGTATTGAGCAGTTGCCCGAGTCGTCACCGTATCGAACCGCAACAGCAGTAGTAAAACGGTTATTAACTGTATCTCTTCGTATTCCTTGTACTCTTATAAAAGCTTGTATCTCTTTGTTTTAATTAACTTACTTTGCCCTCACATACTAGTGCAAGGTGGTTCACAACTCTTTAATCAACGCTTCCGCTACTACACCAACTCTACCCAGAGTTCACCCCTGCAAAGATCCTAAGGGTTTTTCAGCCCAACAATTACTACGCTTCCGCAAATTACAACATTCCTACTACAAAGGTCTCAGCCTTGAAAAAGATCCTAAGGGCTTTTCTCAGCCCATCAATAGTGTACCTGAGTGTTCTGTAGCCTTAAGATAGATGTGTGTGTATGCTTCTGAAATTTACTGCAAATAAAAAGTCTGGCATGCCTTGCTAGATCGGAAAAGGTCACATCGAACCAGCGTACTGATGCTTCCTTGATAAGCATCAGGAAAGTGAGTAAGTTATATTAGCCCTGGCACAGCTCCAACAGGCAAAACACCACCCTCCCGTCATCGCCCGGATATAAGACAATGTTGAATAGTAGACAGGGGTTGTCTACTATACGGGTGTCTCTTATAAACAGGCTAGCCTTTTTATACGACACCTATTTGTGTGTACGAGTTAAGACATATATGTCTTATAATCAGAACCGGGGTTTAGGGGTTTTCTTATAAACAGGGGGTGTCTTCTAAACGAGCCTTCTTTACTTTAGGGGGGTACATGCATACATTCATGAATCTCTACTTCTACCTAACCCCCCTCAGTCACCGCCTCCTCGCCTGCGCTAACAACAGGCTCTACACCCAGGTCTGGCACTCGCCAGGCATGCCTAGCCGTCTCCCTAGGCTCGATCATGCGGTCAGCCTCGGCCGCCGCCCCGCGGTAGTTGGGGGTCTCCTGGTACAGCACCTCCAGGCCGGTTGCCACTGCCACCTCCCGCACGCCCTCCGCCTGCATCACCTCCTCCTCCTCCTCCTCCTCCTCCTCTGGAGCCCGACCGAGCAGGCGCGTGTTGTCGCCTGTGGTCCCCCCGAGGGACATGTCCGCGGAGACATCAGTGGTGCTCCTGGCGCGCAGGTGAGACATCACCAGGTGGTTCTCCGTTCCGTCCAGCTTGCTTGAGATCCCACAGTGGCGGAACGCGTCGATGATGATCTGCTTGGGGACTTGATCCCAAGCCTCCGCGATCCACTGCAGCACCACGGGGTGGGGCGGCCTCCGCAGGTTTCTTGCGGGTGGGTTTGAGGACGGGGCAGCGAGATGTTAGAGACACGGACATAAAGGAGCATGTTTAAGATAAGGACAGGAAACAGAATAGGAATAATACCATAAATGAAGGACCAACTCACCCTTATTCGTCTTCAGGTGAATCCCCTCACGCATGAACCACCTGGCGTAGCGCGCTCGCACAGCAGCCTTGAAGCACCGGTTGATTGAGACGTCCAGGGGCTGAATCTGGCTCGTACAACCCGCTGGGATGACTGCAGGGGTGATGCTGTGCGTGCGGTACGAGTGAAGCATGGTCTGGGTGATGTGACCGCGGTAGGAGTCCAACACCAGCATCGCACGCCTCGCGTTCTGGCCGCGCTGGGGGTTCAGATGGGGCAGCACCTCCTTGGACAGCCAGGTCTGCACAGCGCTCTCGTCCATCCACCCGTTGTCCTGTGCTTGGACCACGATTCCTGCCAGGCACACAAGGGACAGACGGGCTTCAGCACAGTGGGGCACGCTCATCAGGCAGTCGCACGGTTGAATTCATTACGCTTACCTTCCGGAATCTCACAGTTGGGGACGTTCTTCATCTTGAACCACACCCGCGGCCGCAGCTTCTCCCCGGATGCAGTGCACGCGAGCATCACCGTCAAGCGCGTTTTCTGGTAGCCTGCAGTGCGGATTGGGACCGAGCGCGCGCCGCGGTGCTCGATCGTCCGTTCGGCTGGCATCTCCACGAATAGTGGAGTCTGGTCCGCGTTGATGATGCGGGCCAGGTCGATGTTGTGCCGCGCCCTGTTGATGCGCACGAACTTCCAGAAGGACTCGCAGTTCTTCGCGCACTCTGCAAACGGTACACGCGCAACGGAAACACGGGATGGTTAGACACTGGGTGAGGGACATGCATTCAATAGCCCGCGCGCGACACGAATTCCTTCAACACGCACCTGCCGACAGTCGTTGGCCGACCTTGGTCTTCACCCGCATCACCAGGTTCCAGCGGTCACGGAAACGCTGGCTCCAGTGAGAGCTCGCGTTCCAGTTCTTGCCAGCGTGATGCTTCTTCATCCACTCGCGGCTCCACTTCTGGGTGTCCTTCACCGAGATGGCCACCCCGTTAGCGCGCTGAAGGCAGATGTAGCGGTACAACGCTGCCTCCATGTCGGGGTAGTGTGAGTGGCGCCCCCCCCCGTGCATCCGCTTGCGGCAGTTAGCCGCGCCCTTGTAGACGCCCGCAGCCGCCTCCGCACTCCAGCGTCTGATGCAGGCGATGGACGCGGTTGACTCCACGCTCGTCTTCTTCAAGGAGCCGAGCTCCAGATAGCGGCGCGCCCACTTAAGCTTCTCACGCACGGTCCAACTGCGGCGCTTCCTCGTAGTGTCCTTGCTGCGAGGGGAAGGTGGGCGGGTGTTGGGATTATGGAGGGTGGGGTCCTTCGGCGTGACCTTCTCAGGGAACGTGGGAATCGGGCCCGCCGCCGCCGCGTACTCATCGTCGCTGCCCAGAGTCTCGTTCACGACGATGTCGTCAGGATTCGGCGCCTTCATCGCCTTCTTCTTAGCCGCACCCTTGCTAGATCCCGGGTCTCCGTCGGATGTCCGCTTCTTGTTGCTTGTGCGGCGACGAGCAGGGGCCTTAGCAGGGGCTTCCGCGACCTTTGCTTTTCCCTTCTCCGCAGCGGTGAGTTTCGGGCGACGCTCCTCCCCCGGACTGTCGTCGTCAGAGAGCACCACGCGGGCCCGCTTCGACTTGGACTGTAGGCGATGGCGCAGCCTCCGCTTCAGTAGCGGAACGTCGTCGTCTGTCCCAAGGCTACATGGGTCGTCGTCGCCGCTTTCACCGTCAAATAAGACGGCATCCGCAGCAACCGTGTCCGACTCTGCCACAGCATCCGCATCCGCAACTGCGGCCGCGCCGTCTTCAGCCTCCTCATTCGCATCCATCGCCGCTTCCTGTGCATCCGCCGCTGCCTCCGCGTTGTCACCATTCGCATTTTCACCTCCGCCGTTGTCCGAATCTCCAGCCCGCCACTCTTCCACCTCGTCGTCGCTCCCGACCGGCCGATTCCACCATTCGTCCTCCTCGATGTCGGCAGGACCTAATTCGTCGCCCGAAGCGCTGTCGTCGTGGCCGTTCTCTGGCCAATCCTCCACGGCGTCGTCGCCGTTCGCTTCTTCTCCGTCGTCCCCGTCAGAGCTCGCACCGGAGGCCGCGGTAGGACTTCCCGCCTTGCTCGCGTTCTTCGCCATGGCTACACGGATGTCATCGCCGGGCGAGTTAATTCGCCCATAGTTATTCACCTGCACGTGAGGACGAGGAGAGGACGAGCCTGGGGGTACTTTGCTGCGCATGGTTAGAAAGCCTGCCGAGAGCAAGGTTGAGACGAGTATTCCTAAACCCTTGAGCACCAAATGAAGTGAGAGGCCGACTACCCCCCCCAGCCAGAGTGCCCCATCCACAGGTGCCGAGCCGCTCCTCTACGAGGCATCTCCTCGTAGAGGACAGCCCTCACACTGCCAACGTGCTGCCAGCAGCGTTCTGGAAGCATCCCTGCGCTGCTGGCAGCAAAACGACGCTGGCAGCATCATTAGATGCTGCCAGCACAGAGGAATATTGCCAGCGGTGGCAGCTCCCTCACGTGGCAAGTGTGGGCGCTGCATGCATCACCACCGAGGTCGGCCTGTTTCAATGAATCTGGTCTCTGGGTGTTTTCTACACACTTTGCAAGTGTTATAGTCAACTTATTTTTTTTTCCATTTATAAGACTTATAAGACACCCTAAACCATCCCGTTTACAAGATAACTCAAGCATTTTTGCCCGTGTACGAGATAAGACATATATGTCTTATATCCGGGCGATGACGGTAGTTATGTAAAAAAATTTCGCCATATACAGTGCCAAGGTCCTACCGGTACCGCTTCCTTCTATCCACCCACAACCAAGCAACACAAACCAACCATCCCTTCTATAAAACAGGCTGAGAGAAAACACGCGGTCGAGCATGTTATCATGTAACGTGCCAGATGTGAACACTTCTAAGCAGCACTTGGTCTGAGCACGTGGTACTGGCGTGAAAAACTGGGGGAGGTTGTAACTAAGCCACGGGCGGCCTGAGCATGTGGTCCTGTGAGGTGTCAACTGAGGTAGGCGCCATCCACTGCCACATGGCCATGGGCGGCGGGCCGCCCGCAAACACCCCTGGCTGATGCATCGGCTGAGGCACAGGCTGACCCACAGGATGGGACACTGCATGCGACACAGCGTGCGACACAGCAGCAGCAGTCATGGGAGCGGCCATGGGAGACGGCATGGGTGCAGACATGGGAGTGGGCATGCCTCCCATGTGTGCTCCCTTGGGAGTGCCGAGAGCCATCTGCTGGCACTGCTGCATCTGAGCAGCATAGGCAGCAGCAGCTGCATGCATGGCTGCCGCGTGCGGGTGAGGCTGGTACGCCATGGGCGTGGCGGGCGCGGTGGGTGGAGAGTGGTGGAGAGGGATGGTGGCGACGGGGATGGCGGTGGTGGGAGTGGCGGGGTGGGTGGAGGTAGCGGCGGCAGCTGCAGCAGCTGCAGCAGCGGCAGAGGAGCCGTTGACGTGCTGCTGCAGCTTCTCGCTCTCGGCCTTTAGCCGGGCCTTCTCTTCACGGAGCTCGTGCTTCTCAGCCTGCACGGACGGACGGGGGACAGAGGGAGAGGAAGGGAGAGAAAAGGTTGCTTGTGAGAGCTCTCAATCGCAGTGGAGCCGTTGACGACGTGCTGCTGAAGCCTGTTCACAGAGCTCGTGCTTCTCAGCCTGCACGGACGGAAGGACGGACGGGAGAGTAGGGGGACACGAGAGCAGGTGGAAGGAGAGCGGGAGGGAACGGCAGATTGAGAGAGGAGAGAGGAAGTCTTGTGGGACTTCTCAAATGCAGTAGTGCCTGCCTGCTCTCGGCACCTTGAGCTCTTTGATCTGCTCCTGCAGCGCGGTGTTGTGAGCCTTGTGCTCGGCGCGTATGCCTTCAAGCATGCCTGATTGCTGCGTCTACTCCCCTTCCCCACCCCCACACACATACCCCCCCAACGCACCTTGACCTCCTTGACCTGCTCCTGCAGCGCAGCGTTGCTCTCCTTGAGCGCCTCTCGCTCGGCTCGTGTGCCTTCAAGCGTGCATGATTGCATGAGTGCCCAAGTGGTGCCTTACTCCCCTCTCCCCAACACAACCCCCCTTACCCCATGCGCCCCCCTTCACACGCACGCACCCTGAGCTCCTTGATCTGCTCCTGCAGCGCCGCGTTGCTCTCCTTGTAGCGCTCTCTGCTCTCGTGCCTCTAGTACTGCCCAGCCATATCAGTACGATAAAAACCATTCAACCCCAATCACACCCCCCTCTCCCCCCACTCCCTTCACCTTGAGCTCCTTGATCTGCTCCTGCAGCGCGGCGTTGCTCTCCTTGAGCGCCTCTCGCTCGGCGCGCAGCTGGGAGAGCACGCGCACGGCATCGCACAAGATGCTCGCCTTATCCGCCTTGGGCGCCTTGCCTGGCTCCAGCGACCGACTCAGCTCCAGGAACCTGTGTGTGTTGGGAGGGGAGGGGGCGTGTGGGATGAGGAAGTTGCCTTGCGCGCCAGGCTTCAGCAACCTACTCAGCTCCAAGAACCTGTGGGTGGGAGGAAAGGGGGTGTGCGATGGGCAGTGCAGCTGGGAGAGCACGCGCACGGCGTAGCACAGAATGCTCGCCTTGTCCGCCTTGGGCGCCTTGCCTGGCTGCAATGGCCGACTCCGCTCCAGGAACCTGCATGGCGGTGGGAGTGAGGTGGGAAGGGGGCGGGCGGTGGGATGGGAAGAGGATCGATGACCAACTCCCACTACGCCTAGCTGGGCTCCAATGGCCGACTCCGCTCCAGGAACCTGGAGAAGAAAGGAGGGAGGGGTGGGGGAAAGGAGGGAGGGTTGGGGGGATGAAGGGCACTCTGATAGATCCCACTACGTCTTGATGGGCAATGGCTGTGTGTGTGCGTGTGTGTGTGTGAGTGGGTGGGTGTATGAATGAGTGTGTGTGAGTGAGTGTGTGTGAGTGTGAGTGTGTGTGAATGATTGTGTGTGAGAGTGTGTGTGAGTGTGTGGGTGAGGGTGGGTGTGTGTATGTGTGTGTGTGAGTGTGTGTGTGTGTGTGTGTGTGTGTGTCTGTCACACATCTGTCACACCAATCAGTAACCAGCCATGCCACCTCTCACCCGCTATGGCGTCAGCATCCACCTGTCACCTGTCACCGAATGTCCACCTGCCACGTGTCACCTGTCGTTGAGTCGGTCGCGTCTCATCTTCTCTCGGTTGGCCTTGCTGCATGACACGTCAGCAGTGGTCGCTCCCTCATCGCGCGACCTGGCACACGGAAAGTGACAGCGCAAGAGTGTGGAAGGGTGGGGAGTGGTGGCAAAACTCAAGAACGGGCCGCGAGTCAACTGAAGCGACACGTGGCAACCAATGGGTACACGACACGTTGGCAAGGACAGACAGGTCAGCACGACCTGCCTTCACTCTCGCACTTGTCTTTCGCCTTATGCTCTCGCTTTTTTCCCCTCATCCTTGCTCTCATCACTCCCTCTCGCCCTCCCCTCGCATCCCCCCCTTCCCCTCACCGCTTCCTGCTGCTCGACCCGTCTTTTCGCATTCCTCCGTGCCCCTGCAGCGCCATCACTCTCGGCGCCACACACAATTCACACCCCCCTTCCTCACTCAAACGGTTACTCTCCCTCCAACACCTTCCCTTTCCCCCACCCCCTCTCTCCCCTTCTCCCCCATTTCTTTTCCCCCCACCCTCTCTTCACCTTCCTTCCCCCCTCTCTCCCCTCCCCCTCATCCCCTACATCCCCCCTCCCATACCTCTTCCTGCTGCTGGAACCCGTCTTCTCGCCTTCATCCGCGTTGCCACCGCCGCCCTCGGCGCCTCAGATTGCACTCTCGTGGTCCCTTGGCTTCTCCCTCCTCCCCTGCTATCCCCCTTCCATCCCCCCCTGTTCCCCTACCTCCCCCCTCCCTTACCTCTTCCTGCTGCTGGACCCCGCCTATCTCCTCTTCCCCCCCTCTCTCCCCTCCTCCCCATCCCCCCATCCCCCATTCACCCACCCCTCACCCTTCTTCCCCTTCCCGTACCTCTTTCTGCTGCTGGACCCCGTTTTCTCGCCTTCCTCCGTGTTGCCGCCGCCGCCCTCGGCGCTGCACAAGCGCGCAGGAGAGGGGGGAAGGGGAGGGGACAGGAGAGGAGTGGGGGAGAGCGTAAGGTCGAGGAGGGGAGGCGTGGGGAGGGGGGAGGGGAGAACGGAGGGGAGAGGAGAGGGAGGGGAGATGGAACTGAACGGGTGATGGATGAATGGTGTGGAGCGGCACTGGTCCACAGGAGGAGGGATTGCGTACGGCGACACTGAGAGACGGAAGGACTGACGAATGGAGTACGGGTACAGTAAGTGACTGAGTGACTGAGAGACAGACGAATGTCGTGAGGCGACACTGAGTGACTGAGAGGCTACGGATTGCGTACGGGTACAGTGAGTGACTGATGAATGGCGTGAGACAATCAGTGAGAGACCGACGAGTTTCGTAAGGGGACAGCGAAAGATTGATGAATAGATGTGACATTCGAAGACCGACGAAGCTCGTACGGCGACAGCGAAAGGTTGTGAGATTACGAAACACGACATCGAATGTTGGTGAATTGCGTAACACGGCACTGAAAGGTGGAATGCGCGAGACGGCACACTGAAAAGCTGATCAAACGCGTCTACTGGGAGGGACCTGGAGCGGAGTTAAAAAACCGATAGGTCTAAAAGAGTAAGGAGGTTTCACACAGCAGTCATGTGCTGTGCTGGATTGTACGTGCTGGATTTTACGAAGAAGCTAGTGCGTGCGACGCCGCGAGAACAAGCTGGCAAAGTCAAGTTGCCCTTCTTTAAATCCACCAAAATTCGACTAATACCGAATGCACGCATTGGAGCGATGGTCCAGCAGACGGAATTCTAAAAACTGGAGAAGAAACCGATCACCTATTAACCTAAACGTGAGCTAGACCAGCGCGTACCTGCACGCGACCTGCTCTAACGCAGGCTGCGACGGCAGCAGCACGCTGGGCACGTAGGTGTCGTCGTCGAGATTCGCCTCCGTCAGAAAATTCATCCACTTGTCCGTGGACGGTGCTGGGTCCGACGCCATTGGACGTCGCCCTAAAGTAACTGGGGCTTGCGTACACGCCTAAAGGGAACCTAAGTATAGTCTGGTCTGGTCTAGAGTAGTGAATGCCGACTAGGGTTTGCGCGAACAAGGAAAGCAGGGAGGGAGGGCTGCTGATCGGTACGCTAGAGGTGTGGAAGGTAATACTTGACCAACATCTCTTTTCGCTTGTCGCTAGCTACGAGCTGATTGGTAAATCCCGCTGTCGGGAACTCAACATAGGTTGACTTTATTTTCGTTTACTTCTCGTTCACTGGAGCGTGTTACCAGGTGTTAGCCATAGATGTTGGACCCCCCCCCCAAACCCACTGTGCTTCGTGGCACAAATGCTGCCATAGGAAGGATTCGAATGCCCGAACCGCAATCTCGGGGATCAGGTGTGGGCTCCTGCGATTGGCTAACAAGAGTAGTTTGATGCTTTCTTGGTTCGGCAGTGAACTTTTTGGTTTGCCGCCTGCAGAGAGGCTAGGTGCAGAGCCATATTTCCCACAGAACCAATTCTTTCCAACCCAGTTTCTTCCGAAAAAAACTCGGAAGTTTGAGGGGTTATACCAAGACATGTGTTCGAGTATTGTTAGCGTTGCCAGGTTGAGAACCCAGCGGTCTGTTAGCAACAACCACTACGCGTAGCCTCACAAATTCCCAAGCATAAAAATAAACGGTTCTCGAGACTTTAAGACATAACCCTGTGTACATACCCGCCTAGTGGCAGCAATCGTGGTTCCAAAGCCGCACCGCACCGCATTGCATTGCATCCCGTTGGCCCATCCCATAGCAGAAGCTGGTGTCGTTCAGCAAATCGCAACTTCGCGAAAGGCCCGCTTCATCGCGAACAGTTCAGCATTTCTGGACGCAGCATTCATAGGTTTCTCATCATGAAAGAATAGTGAGCTTCAAAACCCCGATCTTTCTTGTAGCTTGTGGATATTGCGCTCTTCTCGAAGCTTGCTAGCATCGCGTACAATTCCCATCTTTCACGCCTCTTGGGATTTCTGCATGTAGTCATCATCAGGGCTGTAAGGAAGGGCATTTTACCTTAACGCCCTGAACATTCCGGCCTACATTTCGAGAAGCTCGAACATTTAAAGTGTTATATCCGCATGGCACCCGTGACCGTTACGGGCCTCGCTTGGGCCTTCCCCTGAATCAAAGCTTTGGTTTCTGTTTCGAAAGACACAACCCCCCAAATTCCCCTTGCCTCCCCCCCATACCCCCACACCCGATGTTGTTTTTTTGGTGCTTTTGCCTACGATGTAGAGGCTGTAGGTGTGTGGATGAGTAGTTCGTATGTACCTTTTTCCTGCTAAGCGAAAACCTCCTCCTGTGTTACATCAGGGCTCAAGCACACTTTCCTAAGAAGCCCTGATTTCAAGTTTTCAATTTGGACTGCGCCCGTGAAAATCAGGGCCAGAATTCGAGCAGCTCAGGACTCAAAGTTTTGGTCCCAGGGACTTCGACAGGCCTGGTCATCATGCCTCTCATTCCATGCATGGAGGTAAAGCCGCACTCATGTTCCTGACCCTTCTGATTCGCGGTTCACGGATGTCATCCGCATGCCGTGTCCTAATAATAATTTCGTATAGTATTCTCCGCGCCTCCAACGTTTTACTATCTCTAATGTCGTTACTACTACTCCGGTATCAGCCATAGGTCAGCTTCATACTTTGTCTGTTCTAGGCCGTTGACTGCATCTATCTCCCTATCGTAACAGCCATTCTGTACTGTCTGCCTGAACGAATCGAATCTACGTCGCTCGAATTTGCCAGAGCCGTCGACATGGACGACGTTATAGAACAGCGCCCATAATAGCCCATAGCTTTAATGCCCATAAAAAAAAAGTCCCTAATTGCTCATACAGTTAGTTTTTCGATGAGCTGAAATAATGCCTCGAAGGCGCCCCGCACGTTCGGTCAGGGGGGAAGAAACTCGGGATGCGGGGGGCAAGGGGAAGGGAACTGGGAAAGGGAAGGAGAAAGGAACGGGAAAAGGAAAAGGGAAGGAAACGGGGAAGAGTGCAGGGAACGGCGGGAAGCGCGCGGGGGGTAGGAGTAAGGACATGGAAACTAGGGGTACGGTTAGAGGGGAAGAGAGAGGAGGGAGGCGGAGGAGGGGACGAAAGGAGGGGAAGGGAGAGAGGGAGGTGAGGGAAGGGGGTAACGGCACCAAGGGGGGTAGGGGGAAGGGAGGTGCGAGGAGGAGGAATGGGCGGACCCCTACGGCGGTCAAAACGTTGGTGCCCAGGAACATTGACGACAGGCCAGGTGATTTTTTTTTTTTTTTTTTTTTTTTTTTTTTTAATCAGGTGTGGTACTGCCGGTCCAGTGAAATTTGTTGCTGACGCACCCCTATGCTATGTTCCACTCCCCTCCCTCTCTAATGGTCCTTGTATCAATAAAGCGATTAGTACAGGCAAGGTTAGGATGAAAGCAAAGGTAAGGCTAACCATTGTCCCCTCTAGGGTGCTCCTACTCCCCGAACCCCCCCCCCCCCCTTCTGCCCGTTACTAGAACTCCACCAGGGGCTCCAGTACGGAAAATCTATCCCCTAGCGCTATTGGTGCATCCTGGCCTCCTACTGCTGGGTTCTCTGCCTGGGCCGCCACATTTGTCTTGATAAGGAAACCCACTGATTGGGCTCTCTGCAACGCGACGGACCACCGCTGCCTAAACTGGTGGAGCAGTTTGGCGGCTTGAAAGGAGTTTGGGTCCGCGTTGAAGTGGCGGCGGGCTGCTGTGTCGGCCAGGAGCTTCAGAAACTGTGGCACCTCCGCGCAGGGGCAGCCATATGTTTCGACTGCTAGGGGGAAGAAGCCGACCTCACTTGGTCGGGTCTTGTAATGAGACACCTTCAGCCCCTCCCCTTCTTTGCCTCAAGATCCCTGGTGCTTATGGGGTCTGTGATGGTGACATCACAGATCCATACTGCCCCGGTGCTCTTGCCGCGAATTGCAAGATCTGCCTTTTGTTCTTCGACCGGGCAATACTCCGATGTCTCAGCCTGTACGATAAACCCAGCATCCTTTGCCATGCTTATGTAGGCGTCACGCAGCTCGTTGTGCGTGTTCGTCCTAGCTTTTCCCGTGCCGCAGCGGATTAGGTGGTTGGGGAGGCGCGTGTCAGGCATCTCAACCTGCTTGGTGCTGCTTGTCACATTTCGTTGGCGTTGAGAAAGGTAAGCCCAGCAGCCTGAAGCGTACCGTGTTTGCAAAATGCTCTGGGGCTAGCCTCCGCGACGGGTCTATGGGGATTGCCAGTAGCCAGTCCCTGCTCCGTACCCCGTGAGAGAGAAAAGGCGCTGGGTGTGTCCCTTGAGGGGATTCAGCCGCATCCGCCGCGACGATTTGACCTGCTCCGCGTATCTCCGTCCCTGGACGCTCAAGGTAAGGGCATGTTGTTGCTTGATCCCCGTCGCCTCCAGCCTCTCCTTTTGCAGCAGCTCCAGACTGTCCGAGGGGAGGGACTGCTCACACTCCGCCAGCCATGTGTGAAGAGGGGTATTGGTATCTTGCGGCAGCGTCATATGCAACTTTGCCTTCGCCAGCGGCTTATCCGGAGATAGCACCAGTGAGGTGAGAAGCTGGGCCGCCTGCGTGAAGCTTGCGAGGAAGCCATACAGCCCCTCCACTGAAGGGTCTGTCAGGCCGATTCCACCCAATGAAGGGGGCAGTGAGTCTTGCTCCCACACTCGCGTCTGCTCCACCTCGTCCGTGGGAAGCCGGGTACCACAGGCGGTGAGTAGTGTGACGAGGAGCTCCTTCCCCCACTCCGACCACTTGCTCCGGCTGAGGAGGTTGAGCGGTGTTGTCCTTACGAGGTAAGATACCCTCCTGGAGATGCAGCGGGTTAAGAGGAGGGAAGCCGCCTGGGGGTCCGTCTGTGCCAGCAGGTCCAGCGGCTTCGTCATTTCCAGCAGTTGCTCCTCCAGAAAGCCTGCCGCCCCTGTCGCCGTTCCAATGTAGCTGCCGAGCAGACGTACGCCAGCTTCGTGGAACGGCACTCCTGCCCCCTCTTGTGCGTCCGTTCCCCCATCCCATACGCCAGTGTTTGAGTGCTTCCACCGCGGCAGCCTGTGGGACGTGCGAGTGCTGGGCAGAGGGGGAGAGACGGCATTTTTCAAAAAGTGTTTATTATAAGCCAAGTCACGATCCACCCCTATGCTACGCTGCTCTCTCTCCCCCCTCCCCTGCACCAGTCTTTCAGTGCTTCCACCGCGGCAGCCTGTGAGACGTGCGTGTGCTGGGCAGAGGGGGAGACACAGCAGTATAAGAAAGTAACTTGTTCTATGAGCCAAGTCACGATCCACCCCCATGCTACGCTGCCCTCCCTCTCCCCCTCCTGTTTGTGGCAGTCTTTGAGTGCTTCCACCGCGGCAGCCTGTGGGACGTGCGTGTGCTGGGCAGAGGGAGCGACGCAGAAGCTGCCCACCTTTCGCATCATGACCACCATGCGCATGGGCATGGCCACCTTCCACAGCTCGAACTTGCGCATGGGCACTCTGGGCAGCATGCACATCAGCACAATAATGGCGATGATGATGATGGGGATGGTGATGGGGATGTGAATCACCATCAGCAACACCACCATCAGCATCACCAGCACCATCAGCACCATCAGCATCATCATCATCAGCATCATCATCATCAGCATCATCATCATCAGCATCATCATCATCAGCATCATCATCATGAGGAGCAGCAGGAGGATGCGCATGGTAAGATAGACGGCGCTGCACCCAATGACATGTATGCCCTGGACTTCCCTGCAGAAGCACACCATACATCTCCTGCCCTGCTGCTCCCCGGCCCTTCAGACCATCACCACCCTGATTCCCCTTCACCGGCTGATGACCCCCTTAGTCTGCCTCCTTCTCAGCACGAGAATGTAAGCCCTGGGTGGAACTCTAAGCTGCAGCGTGGGGATTCGAACCCGGGTCTACAGCTTGAAGAGGTGCACTCAGGTTGCCAGCAGCCGGATTCGAACCCGGGTTTCCAGCATGAGGACTTCAACCCGGATTGCCAGCAGCCGGAATTGAACCCGGGTCTGCAGCAGTACCGGGTGACATACACCAAGTTTGAGGGGGACGATGAGGACGTGGTGGGCTTGCGCCTGCGCCTGCGCTCGCGGACTCTCAACGTGGCGGAGTGTGGACGCGTGCGCGAGGGCATGGTGGTGGTGGCGTTTGTGAAGCACCCCGAGGGGGACCCCAGCGTGGATGCAGAGGTGAGAGAGACCAAGGTTGTTTTGAGGGGGGGCCTGCGTCTGCGCCTGCGTTCGCGGAATCTTAGATTGGGGGAGTGCGCGCTCGTGCGCGAGGGCATGGTGGTGGTGGCGTTTGTGAAGCACCCCAAAGGAGACCCCAGTGTGGATGCAGAGGTGAGTGCGACCCAGTGCCCTCTATCATGCCACGGGAGTGGACCGTGCTGGTGTTGCTGGGGCCCATGCTATTTTACCACCCCAGTTGCTTCTTACAGATAGCAACGCTGTTTCTTTCTTATATCCCCTTCTCTCGTCCCCAACCCCCCACCCACCCTGCCTCCCCCTCTCTCCGCTCAGGCGCTCAACAACAATGTGAGGGCTATGGTGATTCCAATGAAGCTCAAATGAAGCTCCGCGAGCTGCCTCATGCAGCAAAACCCCGCCCATACTCGTCTGTCTGTCCCCCTTCTCCCCTTAACCTCTCAGGTGCACTACGATGTGAGGGCAGTGGCAATTCCAAGGAAGCTTCACGAGGTAATTTATGCAGCAGCAAACCACCCACCCACCTCTCTTCCCCCCTATCCCCGCGCCGTTATGCCCTCCTTCCTCTCTCCTCTCAGGCACACTACGATGGGAGGGTGGTGGCGATTGACAGGAAGACTCACGAGGTGCCGGGGAGGGGCAGGAGGGCGCGCTGCGAGTGCTCCTTCTATGTGCGCCTCTTCCACCACCACGTCACCTGGCCCCCGGATCCCCCCTCCTCCCCCTCCCCCGCCCCTTCCGCTGCCCCTGCTGCTGCCGCTGATGCTGCCGATGCCACTGCTACTGACGCTCCCACTGAGTCTGCTTCTGCCTCTGAACCTGTTGGATTCTTGCCTCCTGCTTCATCAGCAGCAGCTGCAGCAGCCGCATCCCAGCCCAGTACCAGCAATTGCAGTGGTGACAGTGGTGGCAACAGCCACAGCAGCAGTGACGGCGACAGCAACGACAGCAGCAATAGCAGCAGCAGCAGCAGCAGCAGAGATGACAGCGACAGCAACAGCAGCAGCAACAGTGACGACAGCGGCAGCGAGGGCGAAAATAGCAGCAGCAGCAGTGAGGAGGGTCTTGATGAGAGCCCCACATGCTACGTGGCAGACGACGGGAGGGAAAGCACTATCAAGTGGCGCGCTGTGCGCTGCTCTCTCTCCTCTCTCTGCGTGCGCGTCAACCCCCTCTGCCCGCTCCCCGTGCTGCTGCAGCACCATCTGGAGTCTATCGGGCAGCAGTACCCTGTGCCCAGGGTGGAGTGGTGGAGCAGAGTGGGGGGAGAGGAGGTGGTGGTGAGTGGGTGGGGGTGGGAGGATTGGCGGGTGGATCAGCCGTTTTCCTGGCAAGGGCTCGTGCTGACTGCTCCTGATGGTGTGGCTGGTGCTGGTGGTGATGGTGGTGGTGGTGCTGCTGCTGTTGATGCTATTGCTCCGGATGCTGGTTTTGCTGCTGGTGATGATGCTGCTGCTGCCGGTTGTGCCATGGGGGGGAGTGGCATGGGAGCAGATGGCATGGATGCGAATGTAAGGATTTGCAATGGCATGAATGGCAACAGCGCGCCCAGCAACCACAGGGATGCGGATTGCAGGCAGCGGAACGATCTCCGTGCTGCTGGTGCTTCTGCTGCTGGTGGTGGCAGGTGTGCATTGGATGTGCTCGGTGCTGGTAAGCCGCCCTTCACACCTGCCAATGCAGCCTGCTGTGCCTCCTCCCCACCGCCTTCACTCCCTGCCCCTCTGCCCTCATGCGCGAGCGGCAACGGGGGTGGGCCTGGAGGGAGCAGCACTGGTGGTGGGCTCAGGGAACAGTGTTGTTGTGGTGCTGGTGCTGGCAGGGGTTCTGCTGCTGCTGCTGCCGGCGCTGCTGCTTCTGCAGGTGATGCTTTTGCTGCTGCTTTTGCTGCTGATGCTCCTGCTGCTCCTGCTGCTGCTGCTGCTGCTGCTGCTGCTGCTGCTGCTGCTGCTGCTGCTGCTGCTCCTGCTCCTGCTGCTGCTCCTGCTCCTGCTGCTGCTGCTGCTCCTCCTCCTCCTCCTGCTGCTGCTGCTGCTCTTGCTGGCAGCAGTGGCAGTGGTGGCAGCTGCAGTGGCAACAGTGCTGAAGCGACCTTGCATCTCCCTGGCTTGGCTGCTGGTTATGGTGACGGTTCTTCTGAAGGGGAGGGTGGACGGAGGGCGGGTGAGTGTGAAAGAAGCTGGGGTGGGGAGTATGGGGGAGAGGGGGATGGGGAAGAGGAGGACGTGATAGAGTGGGGAGGGGGAGAGGGGGACGAGAGAGAATGGGGAGTGGGAGAGGGGGAAATGAGAGAGAGGGAAGCGGAGGATGGTGCATTGGAGGAGGAGGAGAAAGAGTTGGAGGAAGAGTTGGAGGAGGAAAAGGAATGGGTGGAGAAAAAATATTTAGGGCATGAGGAGAAGGAATTGAAGGAGGAGGAAAAGGAATTGAGGGAAGAGGAAAAAGTATTGAAGGAGGTGGAAAAGGAATTGGAGAAGGAGGAAAAGGAATTGAGGGAGGGGGAGAACGAATTGGAGGGGAAGGAGAAGAAGGAAAAGGAATTGAGGGAGGGGGAGAACGAATTGGAGGGGAAGGAGAAGGATTTAGAGGAGGAGGAGAAGGAATTAGAGGAGGAGAAGGAATTAGAGGAGGAGAAGAAGTTGGAAGAGGAGGAAAAGGAATTAGTGGAGGAAAAGGAATTGGAGGGAAAGGAGAAGGGATTGGAGGAGGAGGAAAAGGAATTGGGGGAGGGGGGAAAGGAAATGGTGGAGGAGAAGAGAGAGGGAGATGATGATGATGTCATGGAGGTGCACGAGGGAGGGGGGGGGAGCGAGATAGAGGCAGAGGAAGAGGTGAACGAGGAGGGGAACGAGGAGGAGGAGGGGGTGGAAGAAGAGGAGAAAAAAGAGGAGGAGAAAGACGAGGAGGAGAAAGAAGGGGAGGAAGAGGAGGAGAAACAGGAGGAGGAGAAAGAATCAAAGGAGGAGGAGGAAAAGGAATTGGAGGAGGAGCAAAAGGAATTGGAGGAGGAGCAAAAGGAATTGGAGGAGGAGCAAAAGGAATTGGAGGAGGAGGAAAAGGAATTGGGGGAGGAGGAGAAGAATTTGGAGGAGAAGAGAGAGGGTGATGATGATGAGGATGATGTCGTGGAGGTGCACGAGGGAGAAGGGGGTAACGAGGTAGAGGCGGAGGAAGAGGTGAACGAGGAGGGGAACGAGGAGGAGGAAGAGGAGAAAAAGGAGGAGGAGAAAGAAGGGGAGGAAGAGGAGGAGAAACAGGAGGAGGAGAAAGATGAGGAGAAATTAGGGGAGAAAGTGGAGGAAGAAGGGGAGAAATTGGAGGAGGAAGAAGGGGAGACAGAGGAGGAGAGAGAAGGGGAGAAAGAGGAGGAGAAAGAGGAGGAGAACCAGGAGGTGAAAGAAAAGGAGAAAAGGGAGGAGGAGAAGGAGGAGGAGGAAGACGAAAGCGGAAAGGGCAAGGTTGCTGAAGGAGGTTGTGAGAGGGAGAAAGCAGAGACTGGGGTGGATGGGTTGAGACGCATTACACATCAACCGTCTGATCCATGGGGGGCTTTAAAGGTGAGGCTGGTGAAGCGCATTATACGGCACCCATCAGATGCGCTGCCGCTCCAGGCGAGGTGGGTCGCCTGTGGTGCGAAAGGCGAAGGGGGAGATGAAGAGGAGAGTGATACGCCACAGTGCAGGCAGGGTAGTGACGTCGGGGAAGGTGGGGATGGCAGGGAAGGTGGGGAAGGTGGGGAAAGTGGGGAAGGTGGGGAAGGCGGGGAAGGTGGGGAGGATGGTGGTGAGAGAGGAGAGGGTGAAAGGCTGGGCGGAGATTGGGGGCATGCGACACAGGATGGGGAGGAGGGGCGAGAGGGGAAGGGTGCGGAGAGGGGCAGTGGAGGAATGGGTGGGGAAATGGGGGAGGTTGAATGTCGGGAGACACAGCAGCACTATCTGAGGAGCAGGAAATGGAGGGAGGACGAGGGAGGAGTGAAAAGGAGAGGAGAGGAAGGGAGAGGAGGAGAGGGAAGGGGAGGGCTGGAAAGGAGAGGAGTGAAGCGAGGAGAGGGGCAGTGGGGCCAGCTTGGCAGGGCGAGGGGCCATCGACTGTGCCGCCATGCCCCTCCTCAGCTGCTGTTTGGGCCTCCACCCTCTCATGCTGAGGCACCTGCTGCTGCTGCTACTGCTGCTGCTGCCCCACCTGCCCCCTCTCCGCCCACACATGACACAGGCGCACCAACTGCTCCACCTGCTTCACCTGCTGGTCCTGCATCACCTGCATCACTCGCCATTCGTACTTTACTATTGCGAATGCCCACGCGTGACACAGGCGTTTCTCCTGCTCCACCTCACTCCTCCACAGTCCCTGCTCCCTCCCCGTCTGCACCCGCTGCACTTGCTCCACCTGCTCCTCCACCCGTCGCTCTCTCCCTACCTGCCGCTCTCGGCACATTCCTAGCTGCTGCTGGCAGCACAGCGCCTCCAGCCGCCGGCGTGACTCTGGAGGCCAACAGTCTGATGCAGCAGGTCAGCTGCGTGAGTCAGCTGGTGCGCTGTGTGACTCAGCGGGCTAACAGCTTGGCACCGCAAGGGAGCAGGGTGTGTGAGGAGCAAACCAGTGCGGTGCTGCAAGGGTTTGGCTTGGTTCTGATCACAGCCGAAGCAGCTGCAGCCCAGGCATCCACTCACCCCTTGCTCCCCCAGCCATTAGCTCACCCATCACCCTCCCAGCCATCCACTCACCCCTCGCCTGCCTATTCCACAGCTCAGCCATGCTCTGCCCTTGAAGCGCCTCAGCACCCCACGCCTCCTTCCCAGCCCACTACTCAGCCCTCTCCCGCCCAGCCCACTGCTCACCCCTCTCCCGCCCAACCACCTACTGCTGAGCCCTCTGGTGCCTTTTCCGCAGCTGAACCGCTGCCTAACCGGCCACCACTTGTTCTCGAGCCCTCTCCTCATGCCTCTCGCAGCCTTCCCCCAACCACACTCCATGCACCACTCCCCACTCAAGCCTCGCTCTCGAATCAAGACCCGCCTCCCATGCAAGATTCGGCATCCGCGCACGAATCTCCCAGCAACCAGTCCTTTCCTTCCATGGACCTCCCTGCAAGTTCTCATCGCCTCTCCCTTGCAACTGCCCCTGTGACTGCCCCTGCAACTGCGCTTGCAACTGCCCCAACTGCCGCTGTGACTGCCCCAACTGCCGCTGTGACTGCCCCAACTGCCGCTGTGACTGCCCCATCTGCCCCTGTGACTGCCGCTGCGATTGGCCTTAGTTTCATGGAGACAAGCCGGCAGATGCAGCAGGCACAGGGGGAGCATGCGGCGAGTTCTGGAGAAGCGGCGCGAGAGGAGCGTTGGGAAGGGACGGAGAGGGAGGTGGGAGAGGAGGCAGGGAGGAGGGCAGGAGGCGAGGAGGGGGGAATGGAGGAGACGAATAGAGGGGAGGAAGAGGGTGCAAGAGGGGAGGAGCAAGGGGGAGAGGGATCAAGTATGAGGGAGCAAGGGGGAGAGGGTGCAAGGAGTGTGCAAGAGGAGGGAGATGGTGCAAGGAGTGTGCAAGGGAAAACAGAGGAGCGGATACACTTGCGGGAGAATGAGCAGATGCGAGGGGAGGGGCAGATGCAAGGGGAGGGGCAGATGTTGAACGAAGGGCAGATGCGGAGTGAGGGGCAGCGAGAGCAAGGGAGGGAGGGTGCAGAGCAGAGAGAGGAGCGACGTGGGCAGGAAAGGGTGGAGGAGCAAAGGGTGGAGGAGCAAAGGGTGGAGGAGCAAAGTGTGGAGGAGCAAAGGGTGGAGGAGCAAAGGGTGGAGGAGCAAAGGGTGCCGGGAAGAATGGAGGGGGGAGGGGTGCAGGGAAGAGCGGGGGCCCGAAGGTTGAGGAGAAGAGGGGCAGGGGAAGGGGTGGAGAGAAGAGTGGTGGGGGGAGAGGTGCAGAGAGTAGGGGAGCAAAGGGTGCAGAGACGAGCAGAGGAGCAAGGGGTGCAGAGACGAGTGGTGGGACGAGGTGTGACTGGAAGAGTGGCAGGAGGGGTTCAGGGAAGAGTGGAGGGGGGAGGAGTGCAAGGCAGGGAGAGGAGGGAGAGGCAGCAGAGGGTGGTGATTGTTCTGTCAGATAGTGACGAGGAGGAGGAGGAGGAGGAGGAGGATGCTCTTGGTGGCAGCTCTGTTACTGATGCTGCTGGTAATGCTCATGCTCATGCTGATTCTGCTGCTGCTGCTGCTGCTGCTGCTGCTGCTGCTGCTGCTGCTGCTGCTGCTGCTGCTGCTGGTACGGGTGCTACTGTGAATGCTGGTGGTGATGCTGCTGCTGCTATTGGAGCTGCTGGTAATGCTGCCGCTCCTGCTGCTGCTGCTGCTGCTGCTGCTGCTGCTGCTGCTGCTGCTGCTGCTGCTGCTGCTGCTGCTGCTGCTGCTGCTGCTGCTGCTGCTGCTGCTGCTGCTGCTGCTGCTGCTGCTGCTGCTGCTGCTGCTGCTGCTGCTGCTGCTGCTGCTGCTGCTGCTGCTGCTGCTGCTGCTGCTGCTGCTCCTGCTGCTGCTGCTGCTGCTGCTGCTGCTGCTGCTGCTGCTGCTGCTGCTGCTGCTGCTGCTGCTGCTGCTGCTGCTGCTGCTGCTGCTGCTGCTGCTGCTGCTGCTGCTGCTGCTGCAGGGGGTGTGGAGTTGAGAGGCGAGCGTTTAGAGGGCCAGGGAGAGAACGATGACGAGTGGGCCGCCACTCGTGCTGCTGCTGTCGCCGCTGCTGTCGCCGGCGCTGCTGCTGCTGCTGCTGCTGGCGTTGCTGCTGCTGCTGGTGGTCGTGCTGGCATTGCTGCTGGTCCTTTTGCTGCCGTTGCTGCTGCTGGCACTGCTGCTGCTGCTGCTGGTCCTTCTGTTGGCCGTGGTGGTTCCCTTGGGGATGGTGATGATGCTCGTGATGACAATGCGGATAGGAATGGTGTGGAGGGGTTGGAAGCGGTGGTGAGGGACAGATGGTCTGGAAGCGACAACAGGGGGATGGAAGAGCACGGTTTGAGCCTAGGTGGTGGTGGTGGGTTGGGAGGGACGGTGAGAGATGTGGGAGAGGAGGCGAGGAATGGAGGGGAGGGGGAGAGGGAGAAAGAGAGGGAGAGGGAGAGTATGCAAGTAAGGGAGGAGATGGGAGGGGAAGGGAGGGAAGAGAGGAGGGAAGAGAGGAGGGAAGAGAGGAGGGAAGAGAGGAGGGAAGCGAGGAGGGAAGAGAGGAAGAAAGAGAGGAGGGAAGAGAGGAGGGAAGAGAGGACAGAAGAGAGGGAAGGGAGGAGGGATGAGAGGAGGGAATTGAGAGAGGAGAGGAGGGAAGAGAGGGGGGAAGAGAGGACGGAGGAGAGGGAAGGGAGGAGGGAAGAGAGGTGGGAAGTGAGAGGAGAGAGGAGGGAAGAGAGGAGGGAAGAAGAAGTTGTGAGGCTGAGAGAGGTGACTGGGAGTATGGAATTGGAGGAAGGGGAGGTGGTAGAAGAGGGGGAGGAGGTGGAGGAATTGGAGGAGGTGGAGGAAGGGGAGGAGGTGGAGGAAGGGGAGGTGTTAAAAGAGGGGGAGGAAGTGGAGGAAGGGGAGGAGGTGGATGGAGAGGAGGAGGTAGAGGAGGGGGAGGAGGTAGAGGAGGAGGAGGAAGGGAATGTTGGCTGCAGAGGGCGCATGGTAGCGAGCGAGAGGGGAGGCGGTGTGGGTGGAATGGGTGGGGCACGTGCGGGGGAGGAGAGGAGTGAGCAGCCCCCATGTGAAGCACCCGTAGCAGCGGATCCCAACGCGGTGAGTGGAGAAGCGATCAGGGGAGGGCTGGTCACCATGCCCATGCCCATGCTTGTGGGTGGAGAGATGCAAACGAGAGGGGACATGCCCATGCCCATGCCCATGCCCTTGGGTGCAGAGATGCAAACGAGAGGGGCCATGCCCATGCCCTTGGGTGGAGAGATGCAAACGAGAGGGGCCATGCCCATGGCCATGGGTGGAGAGGCGCGCAGGAGAAGGCTGGTGGGCATGCCTGTGGGTGCTGCTCATGTGATTGTTCTGTCTGATGATGAGGCAGAGGTAGGTCAGGCAGAGGCGAGTCTGAGGGATGCGGATTGGAGAGAGGGGGGTCGGGCGGAGGAGGGTCAGGCAGAGGAGGAGGGAGAAGAGGCGGAGGGCAGAGGGAAAAGGGAATGCTTTGAAAGGGAAGAGGGGGGGAGTGGGGCCAGGTTAGTGGGGGAGAAAGAGGCAGCTGGGATGGTGGGAGGCGATACAGAGGAGTGGAATGAGGGGGGGCAGGGGGTGCAGGAGCGGGAGGGGGAAAGGAGGAGTGGTTGGAGAAGTGGGCATTCTGGAAGGGAAAATGGGGAGGGACATTCCGAAGGGGATCCAGGTGCGGGGATGGAAGTGGAGGGAGGCAGAGTGAGGGCGAGTGAGTGTGAGATGCGGGCAGGTGAAGTGGAGAAGAGGGAGGTGCTTGAGCAGGGCAAGGAAGGCGAGGAGAGGGAGGAGAGGGAGGAGGATAGGGAGGGGGGGGTGCAAGGAGAGGAGGAGGAGGGTGCACAAGGAGAGGAGGAGGATAAGGAAGAGGGAGATCAGGGCGAGAAGTGGGGGAAGGAGGGGCAGGTAGTGCAGAAAGTGCAGGGGGAGGAGAGGGAGCAGGGCGGGAAGAGTGAGGAGGAAAAAAAGGAGTGGTCTGGAATGGTACGGGCATGTGGGGAGATGCAAGGGACGGGAGAGGAGGGTAAGCGGCTGGGGAGTGCTGGTGCACATGGGGATGAAGCAGGGAGGGGAGCGAGGGAGATGCACAGGAAGGAGGAGGTGAAGAGGAGGCGAGAGGATGAGAGGGTGGAGGCATGGCATGGGAAAGAGGTGATTGTGCTGGATGATAGTGATGAGGAGGACCATAACGAGCGTGCTTATAACGAGGATGAGTCAAACAAGGGACGTAATGAGATGGGAGATGGGGAGAGTGAGAGGGATGGGGTGAGTAGAATGGGAGGAGCGAGGCAGGGGCAAGGGGATGGGGAGAGCGGGGGCAGTGAGTGTGAGGGAGGGGCTGAGAAAGTACGAGGGAGAGAGTGTGGTGGGGAGGAGGATTCAGAATTAGAGGAAGGGGAAGTTCGAGAGGAGGAGGGGGATGAGGAGGATGGGTGGAATGATGGGGGAGAGGGGTTCGGGAGAAGTGAGAGAGAAGGGGAGGCAAGGAACAATGGTGGGAATGATAAGGACGGTGGGGAGGTGAGGGGTTATCAAGAGGATGAGGAGATGAAGGAAAAGGAGAGGAAGGAAGAGGAGAGGATGGAAGAGGAGAGGAAGGAAGAGGAGAGGAAGGAAGAGGAGAGGATGGAAGAAGAGAGAAAGGAAGAGGAGAGGAAGGAAGAAGAGAGAAAGGAAGAGGAGAGGAAGGAAAAGGAGAGGGTGGAAGAGGCGAGGAAGGAAGAGGCGAGGAAGGAAGAAGAGAGAAAGGAAGAGGAGAGGAAGGAAGAGGAGAGGAAGGAAGAGGGGCGGCAGGGAATAAATCAGGTGACAAGAGAGGAGGAAGGGAACAAGGAGGAAAGGAGTGCGAAGATGCGAGAGGAAGGTAATGCAGTGGAAGCAGGAGGTGGGGAGAGTCCGGTGGGGCTGGGGCGTGCATGGGGCTTACTGGCTGCTCGTAGCATCATTCCTCATCACCCGCTTGGCCCATGTCGTGCTCACCACCCCCACCATGTTCATCTCTCTCGCCCTCGTTACCCTTGTCGCCCTGCTGCTGCACCTCTTTTGGTGGGTGCTTCTAGCGCGCCGGTGAAGGATGGGGCTGTTGGTGTGAGCGAGAGGGATGAGGCAGAGGAGGTGATCTGGTTGTTGGATGATGAGGAGGCTGGACATGGGATTGAGGAGGCTGGACATGGGATTGAGGAGGAAAACAAGGAGGAGGCGGAAGAGTTGGAAAGGGTGTCAGGTGTACTGGCACCTGAGATGGAAGGGGAAGGGAGGAACACTGGCAAGAGGGCAGTTTCTGAGGCGACGCAAACTATACTGGAAGATTTGGAGAAAGCATCATATGTGGAGGTGGAAGGGGAAGGAAGGAGCACGGGCAAGAGGGGAGGCAGGGAAGAGGAGTGGGATGTGTGGGGTTGGGAGCGTGCATGGAAGAGGGCGAAGAGTGCCGTGGATGAGTGGCTGGACGAGGGGGATGATGCGTTGGTGGGGGCGGGTGCACAAGGTGGGGAGGGCGGGGAGGAGGGCAGACGGGAGGAGAAGCAGGGGCGAGAGGCAGGAGAGGAAGGAGAAGCAGGAGAGGGAAGGGAGGCAGGAGAGGGAGGAGAGGGAGGAGTGGCAGGAGAAGAAGCAGCGAATGCAGCGCAATCTGTGCATGGGGATGAGCTGGTGTGCTGTGCTCCGTATGTAGGAGAGGGCGGGGGCGTGGACGTGAGCTTTGGGTCGGCTCAGACACGACCAAATGCAGAGCAGTGCTTGCCTGTGGATGAACGAGATGAGGTGGTGTGCTCTGCCCCATATGGGAAAGAGGACAGGGGCGTGGAGGTGGGCTCTGATTCGGCTCAGACACCACCAAATGCAGAGCAGTGCTTGCCTGTGGATGGGCGGGACGAGGTGGTGTGCTCTGCTCCGTGTGCGGGAGAGAGTAATGGCGTGGAGGGAGGCGGCGCGCGGAAGAGGAAGAGAGATGTGCTGCAGGGAGAGGGGGAAGAGGAGCACGAGGGGCAGAAGGGGCAGGAGGAGCAGGAGGAGCAGGAGGAGCAGGAGGGGCAGGAGGGGCAGGAGGAGCAGGAGGGGCAGGAGGAGCAGGAGGAACAGGAGGGGCAGGAGGAACAGGAGGGGCAGGAGGAGCAGGAGGAACAGGAGGGGCAGGAGGTGGGGCAAGAGAGAGCGGGGGGGTTGAATGTGGCAGGGGGCGATGAAGTGCACTGGAGTAAGGTGGCAGGAGATAGGGGCGAAGGAGGCAGTGAGGCAGAGCAAGGGAGAGAGAAGGAGAGTAGCTTGGAAGATGTGACGAGAGATAGGCACGAGGAGCAACAAGAGGAGCAACAGGGGGAGCAGCACGAGGGGCAGCAGGAGGAGCAGGAAGAAGGCAGGTGCAGCGAGGAAGGCTCAGGGGAGATGCAGGGAGAGGCGAAAATGGGAGGCGAGGAGGGGCTTGTAGGCCAAGGGGAGAAAGCGGAGGATGAAGCTAAGGGGGTGGATGCAAGGGAAGAGGCTGGTGAGGAAGCCACAGGACTTGGAACCTCAACAGACACGACAGCCGCAACAGACACGACAGCCGCAACAGACACGACAGCCGCAACAGACACGACAGCCGCAACAGACACGACAGCCGCAACAGGTGCAACAGCCACGAGAGGCATAGATGTGCTTCTCCCGTCTGCCCTCTCCATTGCATCTCCTCGCCTCCATCCCTCTGCTTCACCTGCACCATCAACCTTACCCCAGCCTCCCCCCGCCTCCTCCTCCCCACCTGTTGCCTCAACCCCTGTTGTTCCTGCCACCTCTGCTCCCTCCTCCTCTGCTCCCTCCTCCCCCGCCCCCTCCTCCTCTGCTCCCTCTTCCTCTGCTCCCCCCTCCTCCGCCCCCTCCTCCTCTGCTCCCTCCTCCTCTGCCCCTTCCGCTGATCCCGCTTCTCCCACTCCTTCAACCCGCACTGCCCCTCCCCCCTCTCCCCCTGCTGCTCCCTCTCCCCCTCCTCCTGCCATTGCATCAGCACAGAATCAGCGGGTTGAAACGCACAGGCAGAAGCAGCCATCTCAGCAGCAGCAGCAGCTTTTGCTTCAGCAGCAGCGGATTCAGCAGCAGGTGCGAGATCAGCAGAGGCGGAGTGACAGGAAGAGAGCGAGGAGAGATGAAACGTTTGCCAAGGAAAGGGAGGCACTGGGAGCACAGGGCGCTGTGCCGGCATATATAATCAACATGTGGATTGCCCTCAACCAACGCAAGGTCACTGCTGCTGCTGCTGATGGGCCGAGTGGGGGAAAGAGTGATGGTGGTGGTGATAGGGATTCTGATGATAATTCAAGAGCGAATTATGGGACAGATTCTGATGATGACCATGCTGATAGTGATGGTGACAGTGGTGGCTCTGACAAGGAGAGTGACGAGGAGGAGGAGGATGTGGAGAGGGAGGAGGGGCGGTCAGGCCATCCCATGGGGGCATACGATGTGAGGAGGCATGGAGTGTGTCGGTACGACGGGGGGCGGCATGTGGTGGAGGAGGATGCGATGGAGGGGGAGGTGTGTGCCAAGTGCGGCATCGTCCTGAGGAGCGCCCACGAGCTGTCACTGGTGAGTCGTGTGCTGTGCATGCCTGTAGCTTGTTGCATGCCTTGCTGTGCGGAGGGGGAGGTCTGTGCCAAGTGCGGCGTGGTTCTCAGGAGCGCCCACGAGCTGTCGCTGGTGAGTTGTGCGATGATCTGTGACAAGAGGCCCGCGTCTCTCAAGCAAAAACACAAGTATACTCTCCATGAAGTCCAAGTCGGGGAGATGTGTGTGCGCGCAAGAAGCTCCGATACCATGTTACGGTTCGAGCGAACCGAAAGGTTTATGTAGGAGGGGTAGCAGGGCGGAAGGGTCATGAATGCTACCTTCACGCTGGTGGCTTCCCGTGTGGTGCGGTGAAGGGGGACGCCCAGAGCAGGCAATGCAGACGGTGAGGGAAGGAGCAGAAGGAGCAGGCAGCGCACGTATCATCTCCCGTGTCTCTCCCGTTCCTCTCCCGTGCGTTTCTCTCCCGTTCCTCTCCCGTGCGTGTCTCTCCCGTTCCTCTCCCGTGCGTGTCTCTCCCGTTCCTCTCCCGTGTCTCTCTTTCGTTTTTTCCAAGACTCTCCCGTGCCCTCAATTTCGCCCCTTCATATCTCCCACCCACAGGCGACGAACCAGCCCTCCCCAAGGGTTGTGACGAGCAAAAGGCGGCCCCACCTCGCCCCAATGCAGCTGCAGGTGCATGCAGCAGGCCGGCGGGCCATGGGATGGAAGCTGCCCTGGCAGTGTTCTTTGCGAGAAGCGCAAGGGGCAGCCGCCCATCTCAACTCCGATTTCTCCCGCTTCTCCCGTTTCTCTTGCTCCCCACTCTTCCACAGGTCCCGAACCGGCCCTCCCCAGGGGCAGTGGTGACCATCAGGCGGGCGTATCTCAACCCAATGCAGCTGCAGTCACAGCAGGCCATGCGAGCCTTGGACGCTGCAGAGGCTGAGTGGCGCCGGGAGGAGCAGCAGCGCGAGCAGGCAGCGCAGCGGGAGAGGGAGAAGCAGCGGAAAGAGAAAGAGCGGGAGAGGGAGCTGCAGCGGCGGCAGCAGCTGCTGGGGGAGATCGGGGTGGAGCACGATTGCTGGCCATCGGATTTCCTCCGAAAGAGGATGCAGAGCCATCAGATCGCAGCGTTCCGATTCATCTGGCACCATCTGGTGGCTGGGGGAGGCGGGAGGCCAGGGGAAGGGCGAGGGGGAGCAGGGGGAGGAGAAGGGAAATCACAGCAAAGGGAAGTAGGGGGGTGCATCTTGGCGCATGCGCCTGGCACGGGCAAGACGCTGACCACCATCGCCTTCATCGAGAAGCTCCTCTCCCTGCACCATCAGCACCTCAATCGTGGTGACACGGGGCATCTCAGCGCCGCTGCTGCTGTCTCTGCAGCAAGCGGCACCCCGCCGCGCATCCTGATCGTGACGGAGCTCTCCATAGTGGACTCGTGGTGGGGCGAGTTCCACAAGTGGATCACCTCCCGCTCCCACCGCGCCGTCATCCCCTCCCTCAAAGTCCTTGAGGGCGGGGGCGCAGGGGGCATTCGCGAAGCAGAGAAGGTGGCCAAGGTGTGGGCGGCTAAGGGAGGCGTGCTGATTGCCACGTATGGGTTCCTCGAAGGGGTGATTGAGAAACGGGGAGTTGGGGTGAAGGTGGGGATGAAGGGGGGAGCAGGGGCTGTGTTTTTGGGTTCGCAGGGGCGGGAGGAGGGGTTGTGGGCGAGGGGCGAGGTGCGGCGGGTGGTGGTGGAGGAAACAGATGTGTTGATCTGCGACGAGGGCCATCGGATCAAGTCACCTTCCACCATCTCGCACCGGGTGAGTGTGCTGTGCTTCTCGCACGGGGTAAGAGTGCTGGGCTTGTGACGGGTGGTGAGGGGTGAGGTGTGGCGGGTGGTGGTGGAGGAGACGGATGTGCTGATCTGTGATGAGGGCCACCGTATTAAGTCACCTTCCACCATCTCACACCGGGTAAGCCTGCTGTGCACCCGGTGAGTGTCCTGTGCTTGTGGTGAGGGGCGAGGTGCGGTGGGTGGTGGTGGAGAAATAGATGTGCTCATCTGTGACAATGGCAACCGCATCAAATCGCCCTGCACTATCTCACACCGGGTGAGCGTGCTGCGCTTGTCTGCACAGTGTGCCCGTGTGTCACATCCCGCTGTTATTTCATCCACATGTTTTTTAGGCTCAACTCAACTGTTAAAAGTCCCTCCATGTCTTCTTTGCCCTTCCTCCCTGTCTCACCAGGCCTTGGCTTGGACCGGCTGCACACGCGGAGAGAGGTGCTGCTGATGGGCACGCCGCTGCAGAATCGCCACGAGATTGAACAAGTGTTTTGAGACGTCTCAAAACACTTCTTCAACCACTGCAGAATCACGCACCACCCCCACATGCACCGCACCGCACCGCACCGTGCTGGGGATGGGCAGGGGCATGGGAAGAGGCCGCCTCTTGTGTGCTGGTTATCGTAGTGACTCCTTTTTGTTTCCACTCTCTTGCTCCCTTTCCCAACTCCCCTTCCCAAAAGGCCCTGGACCGGCTGCACACGTGGTGGTGGGTGCTGCTAACAGGCACGCTGCTGCAGAACTCAACACTCGAGCTGTGGGACCTGGCTGTGGGTCTCTGTCCCCAATTCCTCCCCATCCCAACACCCCCCCCCCCCCCCCCCCTTTCCCCCAGGCCTTGGACCTGCTGCACACAAAGAGGAGGGTGCTGCTGACAGGCACGCCGCTGCAGAATTCGACTCTCGAGCTCTGGGATCTTGCGTGCTTCGTGCACCGCCCCCGCATGCACCGTGCTGTGCTGGGGATGGGGGTGCCCACGGGGGACGGTGGAGGGAAGGGTTGGCGGAAGAGCGTGCAAAAGAGGGGGAGCGAGGAGGAAAGTGGAGGCACGGGGGAGGACGCGATAGAGATGGAGGAGGATGATGATAGCGGTGAGGGGGAGGAGGAAGAGGAGGAAGAGGATGAGATGGAGGAGGGAGGTGCGTATTTGAGCAAGAGGGAGAGGAGAGAGCGGCGGCGAGCACGGGCTGAGTTTGTTCGGATCTTTGACGTCCCATTAAAAAAGACATGGAGGAATGGTGGGGGGAGGAGGAAGGGGCGAGGGAGCAAGAGACGGTGGCAAGAGGAGGAGGAGGAGCAGGAGGAGGAGAACAACGTAGAGATTTCGGAAGAGGAGGAAGCAGAGGACAGGGAGGGGGGTGAGGAGGAAGGAAAGGAGGTAAAGGGGGGGGAAGGGAGGGAGCGGGCAGGAGCGAGGGTAAGGGGTGAGTGTGAGGGGGTGGGCGCAGAGGAGTTTCCGTTGGCGAAGGTGCAGCGGTTGAAGGAGCTCATGTTTGACCTTGTGCAGACAGACGGCAACGTGTTGCAGGGCAAGCTGAGAGGTACGGCTAGAGTGGTATGAGGGCTGGCTGAGAGGTACAGTTAGAGTGGTATGAGGGCTGGCTGAGAGGTACGCTGTCAGGTTTAAAGTTTTGAGGCACCTCAAAACTCTTACGGTGCACCGGTTGAAGGCATTCATATTCGACCTCATGCAGACCGATGGGAACGTGCTCCAGGGCAAACTGAGAGGTACGCTGTGAGCTGCAAAGCATGATGTTTGTGGCGTCTCGACACTCGCGCAGTTTCATGGGAACGTGCTCCAGGGCAAACTGAGAGGTACGCTGTGAGCTGCAAAGCATGATGTTTGTGGCGTCTCGACACTCGCGCAGTTTCATGGCAACGTGCTCCAGGGCCGACTGAGAGGTATGCTGTGAGGGAAGAATGGCAGTACGGTGCGTGCGAAGCAGGCATTTACGAAACTTTGGCTGTGGCAACTATTACATGCATTTGCCATGCCGCTCTGCATGCCTTTTTCACATGCGTTGTGTCGTGCGCCTTTGTCTTTCTTTTTGCTTCCCATCATCGGTTCTCTCCGTATACCTTCGGATGTTGACTCTTGTCCCTCCACCAGACCTGGTGGACGTCACGCTGCTGCTGCACCCCACGCCTCTCCAGCTCGCTATCCTGCGTGCCTTCTATTCCGCCACCGTTGCTCCCCGCCTCGCCCACCAACACCTGCAGCAGCAGCAGCTGACCCTCTCCCGCAACAGCAACACCGCCAACAACAACAGCAACAGCGTGACCGGCGGCGCGAGCAGCATCACTGGTGGCAGCAGCAGCGGCGGTGGCACAGAGTGGCAGTTGTCGATGATCGATCTCAAGATTGTTGGCAGTCTGTGTGTGCATCCCTGCGCCTTCGCATGGAAGCTCAACCGCGGCATCCGAGGCATGCCTCAGGCCATGCTTGCCATGCGCCGATTTCAACCACCGGCACCGGCAGCTGCACCAGCAGCAGCAGGAGCAGGAGGAGGAGGAGGAGGAGGAGGAGGAGGAGGAGGAGGAGGAGGAGGAGGAGGAGGAGGAGGAGGAGGAGGAGGAGGGGGTGGGAATTCTCCGGGTGGTAACCCTTATGCCGCTGGTGGAAGAAAATTCCAAGGCAGCAAATCGCGTGGTGGGGTGGCGCAGAACGAGGTGCGGTGTTTGGAGAGGAACATGGAGGCGCTGAGCCCTGCATGGGCGGCAATGGAGGAGCAGCAGGGTGTGCAGCTGTCCCCCAAGCTGGCAGCGGTGGTGGCGGTCGTGCGCGCGGCGGTGCGCATGGGGGAGAAGGTGGTGGTGTTTGCAGAGGAGCACGTTCATCTGGACCTTGTTGTGGGGTCGCTCTGCTACTCCATGTAAGTGTTGGCTAGGGGATGGGCAACAGGGGTGCCGTTGCAAGGTGTGACTACCAGGTACCATGCTGGGTGCGCATGGGCGAGGAGGTGGTGGTGGTTGCAGAGGAGCATGTGCATCTGGACCCCGTGGTGGGGTCTCTCTGCCATGCTATGTGAGTTGCACCTTTCAACTTTCGTGCCATGTAAGTGTTGGGGGGGAGATGGGCGACAGGACATGCCGTGTGAGTTGTCTTAGTGGCCGCATCCTTGTGCGCATGGGCGAGAGGGTGGTGGTGGTTGCAGAGGAGCACGTGCATCTAGACCTCATGGTGGGGTCGCTGTGCCATGCCGTGTGAGTTGCACCTTTCATCTGCCATGCCATCCTCGCTTCGACTCGCTCCATCGGAACTGGCTGGAGCTGGACAAGTGGGACGCGCACGTGCTGCATGTTTGATTTTCTTTGCAGCGCTTTGGAATTCCGACCTCTTCTTCCAATTCTCTTCCATTTGAACCAACAGGGGCTGGACGAGGGACGAGCAGGTATTGCGGGTGGACGGCAGCATGACCCAATCACAGCGCAGCGACGCCTTCGAGCGGTTCCAGAAGGAGAAGGTGCCGCGTGCAGCGGTGATGGTGGCGGCCGTGAAGGCGTGTGGGCTAGGCATCGACTTCACAGCTGCTTCGCGGGTCATCATGCTGGATGCTCTCTGGAACCCAGCTTCTGACCAGCAGGTATGGGGCGTGTGCGCGAGAGGTGCTGCAGTGATGCGGTGATGCGCAGGTGCAGGTGTGTGGTGAGCATCGACTTTACTGCTGCCTCACGGGTCGTCATGCTGGATGCTCTTTGAAACCCGGCTTTCGACCAGCAGGTATGGGTTGGTGTGAGTGCATGCATGTGTGCGCATGTGCAGCAGTGCGGCCGTGAAGGCATGCGGGCTGGGCATCGACTTCGCCGCTGCTTTACAAGTTGTCATGCTGGATGCCCTCTGGAACCCAGCTTCTGGTCAACAGGTATGGGGTGGCGTCTGTGCGGGCATGTGGTCTGGGCATCGACCTCACGGCTGCCTGCGGGTCGTCATGCTGGATGCTCTTCAGAACCCGACCTCTGACCAACAGGTGTGCTTCAGCATGTGTACAAGCTGCTGCTGGTTCACCCTCCTACACCATTCTTCACCCCCCACCCCCTCCCCTCCTAACCCCCCCCTCTTCTCCCCTCCTCCCAAACTGCATCAGCTGCAGGCCTTCTCGCGGGTGGAGCAGCAGCGGCGGGTGTATGTGTGTCGGCTGCTGCTGGAGGGTATGGGGGAGATGTACAAGCTAAGCTGTGGTGCACTCACCCTCCCCACTACTCCTCGTCCCAACCCTCCACCTTCCTGCACTTGCTTGCTGCAGGCAATCTCTCGAGTGTGGCGCACGGGCCAGCAGCGGCGGGTGTATGTGTACCGGCTGCTGTTGGAGGGCATGGGGGAGATGTACAAGCTGCGCTGCGCTCAGGCCAAGCAGCGCCTCGCCCATGTCATCTTCCACTCCGCCACTGGCGAAGGTGCTGGTGCTGCTGGTGATGCTGCTGGTGATGGTTCTAATGCTTCTGCTCCCGGTGAGTAATAAGGAACCTCATCATTTCAACTTTAGGCCAAGCAGCGCCTCGCCCATGTCATCTTCCACTCCGCCACTGGCGGGGGTGCTGGTGCTGGTGCTGCTGCTGCTGGTGATGCTGGTGGTGAAGATTCTAATGCATCTGCTCCTGGTGAGTACTTCTGAGCCTCGTCTCCTCGACGCGTCATCTCAGGCCAAGCAGCGCCTCGCCCATGTCGTCTTCCACTCAGCCACTGCGAGTGCTGCTGATGCTGCTGCTGGTGAGTAGGGACGAGAGCAACCTCCTTACCTCATCACGTCACTTCAGGCCAAGCAGCGCCCCGCCCATATCAGCTTCCATGCCTGCCTCTCCAACCCCATCCTCCACCGCCTCCTCTCCATGCCATCCGCCTGCAACTCCCACCCACACCCCTCTGCTTCTCTCTTCCGTACATATCCCTCACTCTGTCCCCCCAACCCCACCTTGCAGGCACATCCATCTGCCCCACTCCCAGTGATGCCTGCCTCTCTTTTGAATCGCCTCAAGCCTCTCTCTCTATCCCCCCCCCAACCCCACTATGCAGGCACATCCTCTTCCCCCACTCCCGGCGATGCCTGCCTCTCCGACCCCATCCTCCGCCGTCTCCTCGCCATGCCATCCTCCTCCATCCCACACCCACATCCTCCCTCTTCCCCCTCCTCTCCTCCCGGCTCCTATCACCCCGACTCCCCCCATCCTCCCTCTTATCCTGGCTCCTCCCATCCTCATGCCGCTCCTCTTGCCGCCTCTCATCTTCCCTCCACTCCTGGTCGATCCTATCCGAGCATCTGTGTGGGCGGTCACTCGGATTGCGATGGGATGCGGCTGATCTGCCGGGTCGAGGTGCAGAGGAATGGTGTGGCCACTACTGTACATTTGGGTAGGTAGGAATGGCCTTTGAATCGTTGAAGACAAAAGTTGTGATTGGAAGCATGGTAAATGCTTAGGGCAGCTGTGAAATACAGCACCTTCCCTAACGCTTGTTTTTCCTGCCCGACTCGTGCTCATCGTGTACTGGGCTATATGTTTTGGGGTCAGTGGACAAATGCACAACTGTACATAGTGATGTCAACTGTCCAGCTTTCGCCACTGACATTGAGACATAAGGGAGCAAATGCACAACTTTGTCCGAAACTGAATGTGCGGTGAATGAGGAATGACATGTACAAATAGGCAACCCTAACCTAGGTAGGCTACCAAATGTAACACCCATGGGCAATTAGCACATTTGACACACCCCCTAGCCTAGGTAAAAATGGGGGGGCGCACAATGCATGGCAGGCAAGAAGCGAGTCACGGCGGCACTACTAGTCAGCGCCTCTAACACACATGCTCACAAGCCAGCCAAGAAGAAGACGATACCGTAGTACAAATTGCAACTCAGGGTGGTACTACCGGTACTACCCCAGCCCCTGAGACAAACGGTCACAAGGCGAGTCCAAGTGTACAAGAAAAAGGAAGCAAAAATATCAGCAAGCAACCTAACAAGTGAGGGCTTGCTTGAATAAGGCCTAGCTGAGTAGACAACCGATGATGATCACGAGGTAGAAGCGCCTTGGTGAAGATATCGGCGGTGTTGGCCTCTGCGGTCATAAAAATCAAGCGTGCCTGGCCGCGTTGCTGCACCTCCCGTAGGAGATCCTACCTCAGGTGAATATGCTTAACTCTGCTCTCCATTCTAGGCTCCTGACACAATAGGATCATGGCTGCGTTGTCAGCGAACAAGGCCGGAGCAGAGCTAGGCCGCTCACCTAGGTCAGTGAGCAAGAACGTCACTCTGCGAACCTCCTGAGCAGCCATAGCACCAGAGTATATCTCTGCCTCAGCACTAGATGAACCAACAGAGGACGAGCGCATCGATCTCCACGAGACAGCTCCAGAGCCCAGGCTGAAGCAGTATCCCTGAGATGACCTGCGAGTCTCATCGGCGTCTAACCACGACACGGCAGTGAGCCCGGAAAGTCGAAATGGCTGTCGTCCACCAAGCACAAGTCCCCTGCTTGATATACTCGATAGGTGGCGCGCTACCCTCTTAGCAGCCGTCCAATGAACGGGACAGTGTTTCCCGGTCGCAACAAAGCGAGCCAGGATGATGAGAGGATAGGCAAGGTGTGGGCGGTACAAGTTATCAAATGTACGAGACACCCCACTAGCTTTGCGAAAGGACTTCTAGACTCAACTAGCTCGTCGGGAACAGGAGCCGTAAGCCCATGATCTATAGCCAGAGGAGTGGCCTCTGTAGAGGGGAACTGAAGGCGAAACTGCTAAAGGACATGCGGCACCATGAGTGACTGATTGAGAGTAATGGTGCGCGCTGCCCTGTCCCTGGTGATCTGCAAGCGAATATAGTTGCGCAACTCAGTGCAATTGTGTCTCTTCAGCAGCTCTACCTTCACTAAAGCCAGGGAAACTCCGTCTGCAGTAGCAAAGACTTAGTCGTCGACATAAACAAGGATAAAGAACGTCGTTGACCCCGTGCAAACGAAGAGAGAAGGGTCAGTCAAGGACGGGAAGAAGGCGAGTTCAGTGAGACTAGTACTCAGCGTGTCTTGCCACTCCTGTGAAGCCTGGCGCAGACCGTAGAGGGTCAAATGGGTCCAAGGAAGGAAAGAGCCAGTGAAGCCAGGAGTGCGGCGAAGCCAAGTCTGCTCATGCAAGCTGCCCTGGAGAAAGGCAGTAAGAAAGTCTAGCAAGTGCAGCTCGTAGTTGCACTGTGTTGCGATGTGCAGTAGTACCCAAAGAGCGGTCAACTTCGGGGTGGGAGAAAATGTCTGGAAGAAGTCTACTCCCACATGCTGACTAAAACCTCTCGCCACGTAGTGCGCCTTGAAGACAGGCCGCGATCCAGATGGCCGCTTCACCTTGAAAATCCACATGGCATCGACTACGTTCGCCCCAGGAGGGGGAATTGCGTTGACGTATGTGCCTATAGACCTCCAAGATGCCATCTCAGCGTCCATGGCTGCTATCCACTGAGAGGCCCGGTCACCCGAGATCGCCTCAGCATAAGAGCGAGGATTCGGGATGTCAGCAGTGTATGGGTCTCCTTCAAGGACTAGTACAATGGCATAGAGATGAGGAGCAGTTGCCGCAAGGAATGCCAGCTCAAAATGCTTGTCCTCGATGACGTCACAGCCAAGGGCAGGACAACCCCTACGGACTAAGGACGGGTACTAGGGAGCAGCCACTAACTGAATGGCGCAGTCAGTGACAGCAGCAACAAGAGCCAAGACGGAGGGTACTGAGGCACAATGAGTGGAGGTCAGGATCAGGGGACGAGGCACAAGCACCGGGAGGACGACAGTGCCAAGGAGTGACTGAGGAGGAGAACAAGCCAGAGACGGGTCTGGGGGAGGAAAATTGGGACCGTAAACAGGAGGAGACAGTGAGGGGTTTGTGGAAGGGGAAGGGAGACCAAGAAGACGAAGTGCAGTCACAGATGGCGGCGCCTAGTGTGGGGGCTGCCGCTGATGCTGCGGCAGCTGGTGTTGCTGCTGCTGTCGCTGTTGCAACCTCGTCGGGCATCGCATGCCCACAAGAGCAGACTCTCCGATGGTTGTTTTAGGATAAATGACAGAGTCTAGGTCGTTTAGGGGGCCGAAATAACTCAAAATCGTCAACTAAGTTTCTGGACAGAATTGTCGACTTAACAAGAAACGCCGTCAACAAAAAAACACACCGTTAGAACTTCACCAATTTCATATATGTTTTAGCCCTAGACCGTGGCTACGATTCCCATTTTGAATTGCATCACGAGGTGAAGTATATCTTGAGTTATGATTTTCGGTACATTGGGGGTATGCTGTAGCTAAAACTTAACTCAATCCCAATAGTTCAAACCAACAACCACACAAGGAATTAGAGTAGCAAGAAACCAGGTAGGATAGGATGAGGAGGACGAGAGGGAAGGTCCCCAAGGAGTCCCCAACCAAGGAAACCCCATAAGCTCACGATATTCCCTCCCTATTGTAACCCCACTTTGACTTTAGTCACTTTCCCAACCCATGCCATCCACCTAACTCAACTTGGCCACACTTACCAACCTGGTTTATCTTCTCCCAACCACTTGGCAGCAACAACAGTAGGCTGATGAAATTACACAACCCCCAAAGGTCTATACCCCATATAGAGTCACTCCACAAATTCCCAAAGTCGCCGCAACACAATCAAAACTTTGAGCGATCATAACTTTCTCGTTCTTGCTCCGATCGCGACGATTCTTGGTTCGTCGGAAAGCTCTTGAACAGAGAAGTAATTTCAGATATCTGCTCAAACAACATAGCATTCACACATACTCATAAAGTTCAAACAACACCAACCACAAATTCTTGCACACACTCACACCACGCATGCAACGCACGAACATAGGATGGGAGGCAGACAGACGTGAATGCATATGGTAGCATCACACAACAGGCAGTAACCCCAGAACCAGTACCTTCACTGCCAGCACCACCAGCGCCACCCTCCGAGGCAACACCCCCAGAACCGGCACCACCAGTGCCAGCACCCCCAGAACCCGGACCTCCAGAATCAGCACCCCCAAACCCAGCAGCACCCCTGCAACCATTACCACCAGAGTCAGCACCCCCAGCGTTAGCACCCCCAGTGTCCACTGTGACCTGCTGCGGCTGCACCTAAGGCTGATGCAGCGGCTGGGACGACGACGAAGGGGACTGTGGTAAAGGAGACGATGTAGGAGGTGCAACTGAGGAAGGGGGGTAACGTGTGCAGAGAATAGACGATTGTGGGAGAGCCTAGGCGCAGAGTTGCACGATAAGAGAGAGAGGTGCAAGTTTTCTGTGTACGGACTTGTTGGAGACCAGATACTGGTATTCGGATAACAACGTGCTTGGTATGCAGCAAAAGGCTTGGTATCCAGTAACAAAAGGAAAGTGATTCATTAATTGATTGATTACAACAGATACAACATGAACCTTATAGAAAGCATAGTGACGTGTGCGAGAACGTTCTACGAGAACGTTGTTCATGAAGAACGTTGTTCAAGGAGAACGTGCAAGCACCTACTCTAGTATGCGGTTCCAGGTTGGCACCGCCAGGTGAAAACGCCATCAGGTGAAAGTACCGTCATGTGTATTTTCTACCTGTCCAGGAGTAGTTGCGTAGGTGCTCGCAAAAGATAGTTGCACATACTTGTTTGTGCAATGTCGTCACTTCCCTCCAGCTTGGTCCAGTGTTGAACTGTGCATACCGAAGTGCACCGTTGGAGTGTACTCGGCGAATACCGACGCTCCGGTATGCGGTATGCGAAACCTCGCTATATCGTATAGGGCTGCTACACGCAAAACCAGGCGCGTGCAGGGCTTCACCTTAACACTCTCCTGTCCTGCTCGTGCCTGGGCAACTGAGGAGTTAGCACACCACACAAAGCGAAAGGAAATAATAGAGTACAATAGGGTGACGATTCTGAAACTCATCCCCGTGTTTCCGCACACGCATACTCACCGCACCAGCCATGTTGAAGGACATGGCACCTATTCCTGCTAATTGTCACGCTCTTCGTCTGCAAGATCGACTTGGCCAACAGCGACAGAGCAACGCGCCTTTGTGAGATAGTCCGCAGGTTGCTCGCCCGTCGGAATGTACGTAAGTGCGAGCTTCTTGCGCTTCACCATCTGCTGCAGCCAGATGTAACGCCTCTCCATGTGCTTGAGACTACCCTTGAGCCCCAACCCTTCCGCAACAGCAATCGCAGATGAGTTTTCCACGTGGATGACGGTTGGCACCCCAGCATCGAGAAGCCGAAATTCAGCTAGAAGAAAGCGCAAACGTCGCGCCTCCTTGCCGGCCTCCGTTGCAGCAATGTATTTGGATTCCGTTGAGGATAGCGTCATGCACATAATCCTGTGACTTGCCCATGAAACTGC